CTGCCCAGTAGCTTCCAGAAGTTCCTATACCAGTCAAGGAGCTTGCAGTGCTGCTAATGTGCACTAAATCACAGCATGCTGAGATTGCTCGCGATATTTCCTCCAACAATCCCAAAGCCATTGTCGAAACAGCAGCCCCGCTGGCCCTAGGAGCCACCAATCCTGATGCCAGACTGAGCAGTAAAGAAAGCGAATAGACAGCTGTGCACGTTGTTAATAAAACCATAGCACTCTAAAAAAATAATTGGAAAAATAAAGCACTGGTTGCCAGTATACACTATTTCAAACTATACACAGCCCCATGCTCAGTGTTTGTCAAGTGCCAAGTTTTGATAAATGTTCCCAATAGCATTTTCTTTTTTACTCCACACTGAATGATACACATTTGACCTCAGTGATAACTGTGTCTTATTTTATAAGACCAATTCCAGCTGAACAGAAAGCAATTAAATGTAAGAACAAGAATATAGTAACATTCCACCCTGTGAGCACCTATGCATGTGTGTGTGTGTGTGGAGTCCCCATAGCAACAGTCTATTTTTGCTATTATCTGTTTTGCAAATATTTCATTGTAACTCTCTTTGGAAGTTTTCTGGCCAACCCCATGTTGGAGGAAAGGCAACACAATGGATTCCCTTACCTCATTAGGAAATTATAGTCCAGTCATATTAAAATGATGATTCTTTAAAATGCCAATTACTCATTATTTCTCACAAAACTCCAGTCTCACAAATTAAACTTGGGTTTGCCAATTAGGTTTTATTTGGCTTCCTTTGGTGTGATGAATGATAGCTTCTAAAGTGACAAGCTGCATATGAAGGAGTAAAAGTCCTAATAAAAGCAAGAATAAATCATTTTCCACCAACAGTGGGCAGTAGCTTGCGGTGGTCTTTGACTTGGGTAAATTTTTAGTAAGTATGGACCCTTCATGGGTGGACACATTCATCCTGTGCTATTTGTACCAGATTCTTATTGTTTAACAGTCTTACTCTATGAACTAGATGTTTCCTGGGAGATAACTGCTATGAGTGAGTTATTAAGATAACCTCACCGGAAAAATAAAAAAGAATGATTGCTCCTCAATGATGACACTTTGTTTAATGGGGCAATATTTTTCCTTACAGAACCTATTGCTTTCTGGCTAAGGGTAATGAGTAAATGCAGGCAGAGCTGTAGCCTGACATCAGTTATTTTTAGGGTGTGAGGGGTGAGAAATATCCCCTCAGTATCCAAAGTAACTGACAGTGTGAATAAGACTGCTACATTGGAATGACTTAATATTTATTTTTTTTTGTTTTCACAGAAACAATATGCAGAGTAATATATAAATCAATGCAGAGTCTGGGTTAAGTGTCCAGAATTTGGCACAAATAGTATATGCGAAGAGAATTAATAAGGCTTTGCATTACTTATAATTAAATAGATTTTTTTCCCTTCAGCTCTCACAGAAACATTAATATTCATCTTTATAGTTACATAAATTATTGGATTTATTAATAACTTCTCATTTTGGGAAATTTGAAGAATACAAAACTTGCACAAATGTGAAAACAAAAATGACCTGTATTTCCTCTACTTAGAAATACAACTAATATGCTGTTTTCTGGCATAAATTTGTATGTGTGTGTGTCCAGCTTAACCACTTACTGTCTAATATTAAACACATTACTGGACCTTCCTATGCTTTGGCTTCTCCAACTGTAAAATGATGACAATAATGTTTTTTTAGAATATTGTTTATTAAGGATTAAATTTATTACATGCCTGGCATAGAGGTAAAAGTTATCATTTGTATATACGTATTATTAGGTATATGTAGTTGTCTCATATTAAGATTACAATATGCATATGATTTTTAAACTTTACAATGACTTAGGAAAATTATTTCTTGTCAGATCATCTACATGATTTTAAGTGTTTAGGTAATATTTTGTTATATTAATGTATTATAATTTAACAAATATCTTCTCATTCATTAACTTTATTTTTGCCACTATACATAATGCAAAATCAGCCTCCTTTTATTACTGTCCTTACCACAGATCTGATACTTTCTTTAAAATCAAGATAAAATGTGGAAATTTTTAAAGACTTTTTGTAAATATTGCCCAATTACCAACCTGAGAGTTCCCTTTCCCTGAACCCAAGCCATACTAAAATACCCTCTTATCCTTACTTGCTAAAAAATTCAAACCAAAAAACTGTAACAATTTGATATGGATAGAAATAATATTTTAATTTTCTTTTTCTATTATTAGTGAAACTGTAGATGATTTCTATTTCTATTTTTTTTTCTGTATAGTCATCCTAGAAATCTTTAGTTACTTTTATACATGAATTTAGGTAGACTTATGAGTAAGAAAAGAAAAAGGAAATATCCTTTTTCATATCTTTGGTCATGGAAGCACAGTCAATGACACAGCAACCAGCACTCCGTTAATGCACAGGTAAATTAAATTTCAGAGGTTTTCACCTAAAAGCTGACACGAGTGATTAAATCAGTTAATGTCTGAATTGATCTGATTATAAAATGAAATGTAAGGAAGGTTTTACTTGACTTGCTTCCACGTAAGTTCTCTCAATGCTACTACTAAACTTCTTTTCTAGATAAAACTTTTCTTTTCAGAGAAGATGCTAGCAAGAATATTCCCCAGTAGTCAGTAAATTCCATTTCATTTTGCCATATTTGCTTTAGGTATTTTTTAATTGTATTATATTTTTATAATTTATAGTATTGGTTCACAACACTATATGATTTAGGCATACAGGTTCACATCTTCTGATGTATGTTACCATACCACACCTACCACCAAAGCACCCCAACTCTTCCACCATAGTTCATTGGACCCCATCCCCTGTCACCCCTTTGGTTGCCACAATTTTACAATTAGATTTATAAGGTTTGTTTTAGCTTTATTTTTATTGTTTAGTTTTATCTGTTCCTTTATTTTTTTATATTCCACATATGAGTGAAAGCATTTGGTATTTGTCTTCTCCTTCTGACTTATTTTGTGTAACATTATCCTATCCAGTTCCATGCATGTTGTCATAAATGGCAAGATTTCATCATATATATTATGGCAATATTTCATTACATAGATATATACATATTGTATATATATATATATATATATTAGTAATAGACTCCATTTTATGTGTGTGTGAGTGTATCTCACATCTTTTTTTTTTTTTTAATATTTATTTATTTACACAAGCACTGGATACAGCCAGAAGCGTGAGAGGGTGAGAGCATTCACCAGAGTCAGAGCGGAGAACAGAGCAGGCAGACTGATGAAGTACACTGCTGAGGGGAGCAGTGGGCGGCAGGAGAGGTCGTCCTCTCCTCATGTGGGACCCTCATCCAGCGGCTGGGGATCGAACTGATGCTGCAGAGGCTGGGGGCAGCCTCGCAACCCAGTGCTCAATCGCTGCACCACCGGGGAGACCCTATCTCCTATCTTCTTAGTCCACTCATCTATCCTTGGGCACTTAGGTTGTTTCCATAACTTGGCTATTGTCAATAGTGCTTCAATGAACATACAGTGCATATATCCCTTTCTAGTTAGTGTTTTTGTATTCCTGGGATAGATACCTAAGAATGAAAGTGTTAACTCATATGATAGATCTATTTTTAATATTTGGAGAAGTCTCTGTACTGTTTTCCACAGAGACTGGACCAGTCTACATTCCCACCAACAGTGTACAAGTGTTCCTTTTTCTCCACATCTTCACCTATGCTTGTTGTTTCTGGTCTTTTGATATAGGCTCCTCTCATGGGTGTGAGGTGGTAACTTATTGCGGTTTTGATTTGTGTTTCTCTGTCGAAAAGTAATGATGAATATTTTTTTTCACGTGCCTGTTGGCCGTCTACATGTCTTCTTTGAGCAGTGTCTATTTAGGTCTTCTGCTTGTTATTTTTTTTATGCTTAGAATATTTATTTATGTTTTCCTTTTTTAATTTTTCAGACATCCTTGTTTATTTTTACACAATATATGATTTCTCCCTACATGTACAGTCACCATAGTTTTCCCACCACCAAAGTGCCCACAATCCTCCACCACACTTGGCCATGCTCGCCTCCCCCACTGTTCCCTAGTCTCCCCTTCCCTTCCCCCACCTTTCTGAATGTTTTAGGTCTGAGGGCTGCTCTCAAGTGTTACAATTTGTCTTTGTTTGATCCTTTGTTCTATTTCATTGGACCCCATCCCCTATAACCCCTTTGGTTGCCACAATTCTACAATTAGATTTATAAGGTTTGTTTTAGCTTTATTTTTATTGTTTAGTTTTATCTGTTCCTTTATTTATTTTTATATTCCATATATGAGGGAAAGTCCACATATAAGTGAAACTATCCTCTGCTCATTTCTTGACTGAGTTTTTTGTATTTTTTGTTGTTGAGTTTTGAGTTCTTTATAGATCTTGGATATTAACTAGCCTCTTGTCTGATGTAAGATATACAAATATTTTCTCCTATTCTTTAGGGTGTCTTTATGTGTTAGTTTCACTGTGCAGAAGATATTTAGTTTGATATAGTCTCGTTTATTTATTTTTGCTTTTGTTTCTTTTGCTTTTGGATAGACTCCCCAAGACATCACTGAAACCAGTGCCATGGAGGGTTTTACCTATTTTTTAGTCTATGAATTTTATGGCTTTAGGTTTTATATCAAATACTTTAATCCAATTTGACTATCATCTATCCATCCATCTTCCTATCTACTTACCTACCTACCTACCCATCTACCCACTTATTAATCAGAGATGAAAGCTGAATGACCAATAAATATATAAAATATGTTCAACCTCATTTATTGTGCAATCAGGATCCACTCAGGAAGCAATCATGCCAATAATTTCTGTGGAAAAATTTTAATATAAGAAAATATAATGTAAAGAAAAAATAAGTAAAGAGTAGTTAAGTTTTGACATGGCCAGTGTTGACACTTCCAGGTGGGACCAAAGTAGAGTGGCAGGACAGGGGCAGGCAGCTCCCGAGGCAACCATGGCGTACAGTGTCCTCACCATACCTCTCATCGTGATGACCATGTTCTGGGACTTCGTGGGTGTAGGGTAAATGGTTTTCAGGCTTTTCTGCCCTCCCACCAATAGGATTGCCCTGCCTGATTGAGCACCTGCAGTTATTACATTGGTGCAAACTATCTTGTTTGTTACATTGGTGCAAACTGTCTTGTTTACTTCTGTGGGCCGTGGGAGGAGTATTGAGATAGTCACCAAGAGAAGAAGAAGAAGCAGGAGAGAGACAGGAGAGAGAAGGGGTAAGAGAAGCCCAGAGTGAAGACTTGCTGGGGGCTTGGAGGCCTGCCTTCCTCTGGCCCCCTGGGACCCCTGCTTACCGTGTACCTGGTTGCTGCTCTATATGTAACGGCTCAATAAAAGCCTGAGAAACCCACTGAGGGCTCCAAGATTCTCCTTTACCCATCTGCTGGATCCTAGAAAACCTGCACTGTGCCCATCCTGTCCCTACAGGGGGTTGTTGGTGCCCTGGTTCATCCCCAAGGGCCCCAACCAGGGAGTTTTCATCACCATGTTGGTGACCTGTTCAGTTTGCTGCTATCTCTTTTGGCTGATAGCAATTCTGGCCCAACTCAACCCTCTCTTTGGACCACAGTTGAAAAATGAAACCATCTAGTATCTCAAGTATCATTGGCCATGAAGAAGAAGATCCGGACCCGCCCTCCAGTGTCAACCATTGAGGTCACAGAGAGAATTCCTCTAGATGCAAAACCACCTAAAACCAGACTGACTTCTTTGACTCACGCATTTTGGCCCTCAGCTGCCTTAAACATTCACAGCACATTTGAATATCTTATTCTGCAATGCAGTATTTTTTTCCTGTCACCTTTTTTTTTTATTCTCTGATGAATCATTTTTGCCTACTTAATCTAAAACATGCTGGCTCCATAAAATGTCCCTGCACTCTTCAAACACAGAAGGTGCTAGTCTTCTGAGCCATGCCTCTCCTGGGAATCTAAAGATTTGAAGATGGCTCCTGCCTGCTCACAACATGGGAATCAACAACATATTTAAAACTTGTAAGACAGTAAGACTCCGCTGGAGCGGTTGGTAGGAGAGCATGTTCAAAGGGCAGATCTGTCCCAACAGAATTACACCAACGTCTATTTTCAGGATGAATCTTCTCATTTCTTCCATCTTTTAGAATAAATTATTTTTCTGCTTTCTGTGGAAAAAAAAGTGGTTAAGTTTTGAAAGAAACTAACAGGCACTGTAACAGGATAGATGTGGGAGGCACTGAAAGCAACTACTAGCTTCATACTGAGGGAGGGTGAGCAAGAAAGGATTTAAGAACTTAGAATTCTTTGGCTGGCTTCTTTCCTAAAACTGCTGATTGTAAGAAACTTGCCAGAAGCCAGGGCTGGAGGTGGGCCATAGGATGGATGAAGGGTTGGGCATAGGGCGCAGGTAGGCTGGCATCAAGTCACATAGGCCACTGAGGTGAATACATGTAACTGGTCTTGTATTTATCACTTTGCTGCCTGATGGGCTGGACAAGACAAGCACACTGGGTTGAGGAAGGATCATCCCTTCCTTAACTATGGTTTTGCACTCCCTCCAGTGGCATCAACCAGCAAAGCCTGATATTAAAGGACCAGTGTTATAGATCATAGCTCCGGTATCACAGAGCAGGACAGTCCAAGATGGATTTGGGGATGAGAGTAAACTGAACACTGGTAATTAGCAACATGCCTATAAAATAATAAACAATTGACAAATTAAAAAAATAGCATTTTTTGGGGATGATATTCAGATGCAATGTGACCCACAGGAATGATAGTACCAAGTATTGTCAAAGATGTAGGGAAATGAAAACAATTGTACATTGCTGATGAAAATGCAATCAACAAGGCTATTTTGAATAAAACATGAACATTCTTGAGCAACCTTGAAGATGAGTGCACCTTATAGCCTGCAATACTGCCTTTGATACACAGTAGAGGAGACCATGAGCATGTGTACTAGGAGATGTCTATGGCATCTATTTCAGATATATTTTCAGTAGATATATTTGTGTCCAGCACAGCAGAGCACAACATAAATGTCTCTAAGCAAGAGGATTAGACAATAAATTGCCATTTTTCAGTGGTATGTTAGCTCTGCAACAATTTAAAAGGATGAATTATATCTATAGATACCAATAGCAATAATTTGAAAAAAATTGTAGTTAAAAAAAGAGAACTACAGATGGCCTCTTTAATGGTATCATTTATATAAATTTTTAAAACATACATAATATTACTGTATGTCAGAGATTAAGAAACGGCCAAATTGTAAGTATATTAGACTTTGGTACCATTTATAGTATTTGTGGCATATATGCTTCCTCCCAATCCTTTGAAGATCTAAAAACTTTTCTGACTCATGGGCTATCCAGAAAACATTGACTCTGGGCAGTGAGCACATATATATCTCCCTTACTTCTTTACTTTTTGTATATTTATTTCAAATTAAACTTAAAAGTATAATGAAAATCATGACATACATAACTTGCAGGGTAGGACTAGTAATTTGCAGGTACTTGAGATAGGAAACTGCTTTTTTTCTGCTTTTTGTATCACTTACATAAATACTTCGATGTAGAATGAAAACTGTCTCGCTTGTAACATTAGTTTATTGTTTTCCATATCTGTGAAAAGATAACAACTGTTTAAGAACATCAAACATGAAGTAGATAAGCGAGTTCTATAGATAAAAGAGAAAATTATTGAAAACAGATATAGCCTTTGTCATAAAAAAAGATGAGGAAGGCATAATATCAGAGAAAACAGCCTTTTAAAATGATATTTAATTTTTGAGGCATGTGCTTCATAAACAATGCCCATATCATGGCTTAGGGGATGAGACATTTGTTCCCTTTCTTAAATTCTTATGGGAAGCAGTTATATATGAGTTACAGAGTAAAAATGACAGCTTTTATTTAACAGCGTTAGCTATCTGCATTTAAAAATAGATTGAATTTACTTATTCTGTTATTGATTTGGTAATGATAAAATTCATGTCATAGAGACCAGGGCTTTACAGAAATGCCAAGGAGATAGTCATAGCCACTTTTCAAATAGTTGGATTTCTTTGGTTTCTGTTATGCCTTAGTTGAAGATCACAGGGCATCCTTTCCCTTATGCACAACGTACTGTTGTCTAACATTATAAATGAATAGTCCTCTGTTAATTTTAACTTACCTAACATCTTACTGCAGTATCTGCCAGGGAAGTCATTTTAAAGGTAATTTAGAAGAGGTGACCAAACCAAAAATAGAGATCATTATACAAAGGCTAGTACATGTTTAAGGAGGTCAAAAGATCTTTAGAAGTATTAATTAAAATTTGTAGCTCTCTAGAGAAGTAAATAAATATTATTTTTTCCTGAGGAGCAGTAATTTTGACCATGTAGAATATTGTGTTGGCTTGAACTTTAGCTCAAAGTCAAATGGTGAGTCATTATCCAGAATGCACAGAATACTTGGGATTCTCCTTCATATTCCCTTGAGAAGCTATCCCATATCAAGCCCCTGAGTACTAATTAAGGAAACGGACCAACAAAAGTTAAATAAACAGACAAAAACAAATGCAATCTAGAGCTAACTATAATATTATTTCTGAAATAAAATACTTAATCATAAGGGCACTCATCTAGCTTTACCACCATTGTCCTACACTTCTAGCCTTGATTTTCCTGAATGTTGTTTGATGATGATAATTACTGCTATGTAGCCTATAGGCATTCTCAGTTTATGATATGATACACAGAAAACATCTTTAGATTGGGGGGAGAAATTTGCTGTAGATATGCAGTTAATTTTGGATGATGAACAGGCAATACATCCATGGATATAAATGAATTGCTCATTAAGAGGATGTGTACGATTATATTCACAAATTGAAAACTGTTCTTAACAAGGAAGTTTAACAGCTTGCCCAAACACTTGAAAGATATGGTTTGTTTGAGCATTAAAAAATGCAGATAATTATATTTCAGAATGAAAGGGTAACTTTTTTAGGTTCTGTGATACACAGTCAATAATCACTTAGCAATATTGCTACTTAGCCAGATAGGTAATTAATCTGCTGCAAAATTCTAGAATTGGCAACAGAGAGCAAGGGAAATGTTAACAATACATTTTTGTTTGGCAATGAAATATTACACAAGGCTCTGATAGTGATCAGTTGCTAAAATTCGTAAACCAAATGAGCTTATCATTAATACATTAATATTAAATCAGTACTTTTTGTTTAAGGCGTCATTCAAGAATTTGTTTTCTATCAAGGTAGTAATATTGCTCCAACAAATTAAAAAACTCACCAAAAAAATTCAAAGACCAAGTAAAAGAAAAACATCCATTGTTAGAGCACAATTTAGCAAATTTCCCTAGGTAATTAAATTCATGAAATATTGCTCGACTGGCATATTTTTTCTTCTAGAAACCTGGGAATGGTGGAAATGTAAGACAGCTACGCTTAGTGCAGGGTTATAATAATAAGTTTACTTAAGATAAAATGACACAAATTCCATGGTTTGTCTATGAAGTTGGCAACATTTGTTCTTCTGCCAAAATCATATTCTCTTGAGCATGTCCTTCAGTAGGTTTAGAAAAACAGGATCTGGGAGTTTTCCTTTTAGGCTTCCTTGAGGAAAGTGTATGTGCCTATTGTTAAGGCAGTTTACATGCTTACACAAGTAAGTTGCTTCAAAGCTTATTTGGGGATCAGCATAGTCACCATCTCAACCTCATACTTGCAATCTAGACTCACATAAAAATGAAGATTTCATGATTTTTGCCACAGGATGGGGGAACTTCTTACTTTTGATGGGAAGCCTCCATTTTATTTTTCCTTTGTTTTAGAATTACTTCCCAAATATCTGTCACGGTAAACCTTCAGTAGCCAGCAGAAGATATTATTCAATTATGAGAGGGTGCATTGCTCCATAACCAAATGCCAGTCATTTTTCTCTAAGGCACTTTCCAAAATATCAGAAAATAAGACTTTCTGATTTCTATTCATCCAAGAACATTTGGCTAAGTTTGGATTGCCAAGAGACCTTCAAGTATACAAACCATCACCTAAATATGGGAATTGAAGAGAGAAATGTCAAATGAACTTGTTTAAAGACACTTGGAATTAACAAAATTCAGACTCATTTTCTTTTCAGGAATGCCCTCTATGAGGGCTCCTTCACCGATGAATCTAGCATTAATCGACCTATTACCTGCAGTAATGGGTAACCTGCAGTAACAAATAATCCCCAAACATATATTTTACATTTATTTTAACATTGGTGATGGTTACTCTCCTCCACATAACTTTTAATTTTAGAACCCAGGCTGAAGGAGTAACCCAAATTTTAAGCCATGCTGGCTTTCTGGCAAAGAGAGGCACAAAAATCTCATGATGTGTCTTAAAGCTTAGCTGCAGCATACAAACCTCAAAGTTTGGTCTCACGATTAGTGACTTCAGTGTTTTTTGGGAGTTTATTAGTAATACAGTATTTCAGACTTCCATATGAATCTTCATTTTAACAGGGTCGCCTAGAAATGTGTAGACTTTAAAGTTTAAGAAACACTGGCTTACATAGTACCCATTCACAGTGGTTGACCCAAACACTCATGTGGTTAAGCTCAGCTGAAGT